AAAAAAAAGGGGGGAAAAAAGCACCTCCTTGGCTCTTTCCAGAAAGTGAAACAAATAAAATTCCTCAGCAGGGTATAAATCTGGCGGATAGGAACGGTATTGACTTGCACGCCCAACTTTTCTTCCCCCTGATATATGAACTTCCCAGCTTAAAAGATTACAGTAATCACGGGAGGACAGTGTAAATCGAATCTGATAGCAATAACTTTTGGGGAAGGTCAGGCTCAAGTGAAATGTTACCAAGCAACAGGCATTTTGTTTGCAAAATACAATCAAAGTGTATTGATGAGAAATTCTTCCTTGCCAGCCAGTCAGCACTTTCCGCTAACAGCTTTACGGGTGGGGGGGAAAATAACGGGGGAGAGCTTCATAAATCAAGGCCCGCGGGGCCGCGCCGGCCCCCGCCCGCGGTGAGGCTGGGCTGGGGGGGGGCCGGGGCACCCCAGGACCGAGGGTGCCGGGAAGCAGCCCCGGTTACACAGACCTCACCTGCGCGGTCCCCGGTCTCCAATTGTTACAGGGGTTTGCTGGGCTTTTGTTTGTTTGTTTGTTTGTCCCCCGTCCCCCGTCCCCCCCCCCCCGCTTTTATGAACATGGGAATGAGTGAGAGCAAAGCGGAAAATTATCTCCTCGGGGGGTCCTCCCGTCACCTGCCACCAAGCACTGTCTAACCAGATAACCTGTTTATTTCCAGCCATCCTGCATGCTCTGAACAGCAGGGCTTTCTCTTCTCCCTCTCTCCCTGCTAACCTGTATTAAAACCGTAGTCAGAATGGAGGATGTAATTATTTGCTCCCCCAGCGCGCCCTGTTTCTAACACCACCATCCCCCCCCTCCGGGGACATCAGTCTCCTGGAAGTTTTTTTCAGAACGGAGGAGGTATTTCCCGACGTACGGTAGAATCAGATCCGTTTATTTTTATTCCTGCCATAATCGGTCATTTTGGTGGGACAGTTGCAAAGTTGTGTTCTGTGCAAATAATGTGCCTAGAAACTACCCCTGTTGCATCTGCCTGTGCTAACCCAGAGTAATTCCTCCTCCTCCTACTGTGCTCATGAACTTTCATCTCTCATGTCACATGAGTGCCTGTGACATTTCTCTGTCTTAGTAGTAGTTATCAAGGCTTGTAAACAATTAATGTAACGCTGTATTGAGTCTTCTGTTAATTTCAGAGCCAGCTTCTTAACACAACAGAGCAGTCTCTGTGTTAGTTTGGGAACAGCGATTAGTCTCCTACAAAGCCCCTTAGACCTTTGAAGATAGGGAAGAAAGTCTGGAGTGAAAGTAATTAAAAAACCCCAAACAAACAGCAAAACAAAAAACTCCAAACCAACCAACGAAAAAAAAAACCCAAACCACCCCACCAAAAAACCCTGTAAGTTTTACATGACCTTAGCTTCATGCAGCTTATGTTAGTTCTGGTATCAATCCATTCTAATAATAGAAATAGGGAAAACAGCAGATGTTTTTGGGATCCAAGAAAATGTGTGTTGGAGAAAGAGCTGTCCTAACAATCAAAGTGCAAGCTGATTTAACAGAGTCAGCGGTGGGAATATCAAGGAAGCACATTTGGTTCCAAAGTATTAGACCAAGTTTTCCAGACAAGTTATTAACTTGAGAAGAACAGCTTCTCTCTCACCCGTGTTACTTTTATTTGGCCCTTTTACAATATTTGACTCATGATCCTTAATGTATAAATAGGCAAAGAAAAATTGGGGTATACCTTGCTCCAAATTAGTAGCAGCTTTGTTTATTAATGCAGTTTACCGTGAATGCATGCACAGTTCTCCCACCATACTGTGGTTCATGTGTATCTGCATTTGCACTGCATCTCTGTAGATCTGGGTATGTATCTGCCTATGCATGCATATTAATTGAGGAATAGTCCCCATCGCTTATATCAATAAGAAAACAATTTCCCTAGTTTGCTCAGGGCTGGCAAAGTGAATACTTGAATGCAGACAATTTGAAATAGAAAGTGTGGGGTGGGGAGGGTGGGGGTGAGGGTGGGTAACAAACAAAAAACCTAGACACAACACCCAAAACGCACAAACATAAAAAATGTCTGAGGATGGGATTTCTTTCTTGAAGCCTAGAACATCCTCCTGTGAAGCTTACGTGTGGTGCAAAAAATACCGTTGGCGGGTTGTGTATTCTGAACACAAAATTGGTGTTTCTGTGCCTGAAAATGTGGCTGTTTGGGATTAACACCTGCATGCAATATTCCTACAATTCAGTGCCCGCCTAAGGACATTTATAACGTATCTTCCCAAATCTTCCTTAATTTAACGATTGCTGTTTTGTACCCGTTTTAAACAAACGGAAAAGCTAATCTCGGCAATTCCCGCGAAGAGGTGGGGACAGTCCCCGGAGCACGCCGTGACCGTGGTGGGGAAGTGGTGTTCAGATGAGGAAAAAGCATAGTCAGAAGACGACCTGCCGGGCGGGAACCCACCGGGGACCGGCCCGGTGAGCGGGCGGCGGCCGTCCGACCCGCCCGCAGCGGCGGTGCTGGGGCAGCCGCGCTCTGACACCGGCCACCGCCGCCGGCAATAAACCGCCCGACACCGGCGGCCACAAATGCTCTCAAAAAGGCAGAGGGGGGGGGGGGGAAAATCGTAGCACCCGAGCTCCATGTTAACTAACGGAGGATGATCCTCCTCGTGTTAATAGCATCGTTTGATTTAAATCACCGAAACCTCGTTTTACGGGTCTGACCCTGTTGAGTCTTACCGCCTGGTGAGATGCACCGCTTATGATCTGTGCTGCGAGGGGGCTCTCCCTGTGCAAGGCTAAGAGTCGGGATCTGTGCAGTCTCCTGATGATAAAAGTGCAAACTTCAGTGGGACGAATTTTCAGAATTTGAAGAAAATTTTTAGCCAAGCCTCATAAGGATAGTTTTAAGGGTACTGAAAAATGAACAAACCTGAAATATCTTGAAAATAATAATTTGTAAGGATCAGGGAGTGTATTAGGGACATCCAATCCGATTCTTTTTTTCTTTTTTAAGCACGTACTTGCTCCCCAGTGGTACTTGTTATCAGCCCGTAACGATACACTGGAAGAGCGCAGTGGTTCTGAAATACGCTCTACCTGCATGTGGTCCATTTGGTAATACTGGGTACCACAGTGCAATCTATTTATGTGGAAATTAGGACCATCGTCTCCCTTAAATGCCTCTCTAACTCTGGCAAGACAGGGACAGAGATAATTAGCTGTCCGCAGACTGCCCGGTAAGCCTTCAATGTATCAATTGCTCATTCACTCAGGTGTGAATTGTTCTTAGCATACTGTCTTCTGTAATAAATGCATGACTATGAACATGCGAAGGGGTTAGGAGGGAAAGGTAGTGTAAGCCTCAGGTTTTTTTTCAAATAACGGATGAGCTACGCTGAGGTCTTACCACCTCCTCAAAAGGATACACGTTGCCAGTTCGCTATCAGCGAACATTTCCTGCATTCCCCTTTGGCTGCTAAGGAAAGACTGATGCACTGGGTGTATGAAGAAGAGCATACATACATTGCCTTCTCTGTAATATACCTAGATGAAGAGTTACTGCTTCTCCATTTGCACTGGACAGAGAGCATAACCGATATAAAAACAGGTACCCAAACCAGGTAATCCTGCTAAAAGAGAAGGACAAGATCTTCATAAGGGCATCTGTATTCCTCAGCTCCGCTCCCAAGCTCATTTCCGCAGCCCAAACTAGCAGCACCCCACAGCCCTGTAGGATGGCGCATCGTTTCTACCTGGCACAGCCATCCTCATGAGGAGAACCTGCCTTTGCCACGCTGACTGTCAGGCTGTGCTCTGCCAGGATCTTGTATTTATTTATAACTCCCGTTCTGGCGAGCAAAGTGGCTTCTTGCTCAGCGCAGGCTTGCACAGACCCCAACTCCTTTCTCAAGGTGGGTAAATTGCATTAATAATAGAGTTTGTCTTGAGCTGATCTGTTCAACACTAAACTTAGCCTGCTGCATGGGGAAATGTCCCGCCAGTTCCTGGGGTGAAAGGGAGGCAGGACTGTCCATGGTGAGCAGTGAGGCTCAGGCGCTTGCACGCCTTTAACTTGTTCCATCTTGATTGGGCAGGGGTGATCTTCAGCACATTTTGGGAGCCTCTGCTTGCTTCTTATAGCTTCTTTATCTGGTTGGGCTGATCACCAGGGGCTTGGGAAACCAGGCAAATAGTTGTATTGGTTTCTGCAGGCAGTCTTTCACATATGTGTGTTTAAAAGCGCTGCCCTGTGCAGTTAAAGCAGGTTCTGTCAGCCACAGCTTGGACAACGACCCTTTCTTCAAACATTGAAGCTTCCCCAGGGAGATCATCACTGTCCTGTATGAGGAAGGGCAGCAGAACAACGTTCTTGGGAAATAACTGTGAACAATCTCAAGCAAGTACATTGCCCCTCTTCTGCATAAACTGTGAAAGCTGTCAACCTTTCTTCTTCTTCTCTTCTTTCTGACAAGCAGTCTTATTTCAAAGGTTTCCATACTCTGGCCTGGCATTGCCAAAGTGACCAGAGATTTGGGGTATCCTCATTTTTGTGTGTCCATTTGGAGGCAGTGTGGTCAACAGGCTTGGTTTCAGCCCTGTACTCAGCTCTTGCCCTTCTTAGCTTAGCACACAAAAAGCAAGGTACCTGGAACAAGTGCTGAGAGAGGCTGTGGAGTCTCCATCCTTGCAATTATTTAAAACTCAGCTGACCAGGGACATGAGCAGCCTGCTCTGTATTTTAGGTGTCTCCTGCTTTGAGTAGGAGGTTGGGCCAGATGCCTTCCAGAGGTTCTCTCCAAACTGGGTTTTTCTAGATTCTGTGCTCTACTGGGCCAAGGCATCAGCTGTGCTCCAGGGTTTGGAGGAAAAGCCTGTGATTCTCACTGGGGAAGGAACCAGTTTCTGCAGAGCCAGGACTGGTATACACTGATTTATTTGAAGAATTCTTTAACCTTCAGCCAGTGGTCATGATGGAGTGGTTCCACCAGTGCTATTGGACTTGCAGAGGGAATTTTGATCTCCCAAGTGCCCTCTAGATATCTTCAGCTCACTGTCAGTGAGATGGCGCTAGTGAGGAATTATGATACAAAAGTGCTGAAGTTCCTCTGAGAAAGTGTGCACTTGGGTGGTGTGTTGCTGCCCTGTAACCAGTGAGAGAGGATTGATATAGTGTATTTGATGCAGCAGAAAAATGAGCACTGCTTCTTTTCTTGCACGTGGGAGAATGAGACAAGATATCTATAAGGCAGCATAAAATGCCTAGACCAGGTCATATGATTCTTTTGCAGTTTTGTTCTCATGAGATGTTGCAAAGAGACCTTAATTTTAGCAGGATCTCTGTGAAGAATGCTTTTTTTTGCCCTAGGATCCTTCTCTGTTCACTTTAAGAAGACTGTGTCCTCAAACGTCTGTAAAAGCTCTTGGCCTCGTTTTTTTGTTAACTTCTCTGCCTTCTCTTTGCAGACATGAATGAGGAGCGTCTGGGTGATGCCAGTGGAGCAGACAATGCCGAGACCTACAGTGACAAAGACACAGACCAAAGGAGTTCCCCAGACATGACTAAAGCCAGAAGTTCCTTCACCCCTGAGAGCCCTGAAATTGTTTCAGTGGATGAGGTTGGTTATGCAGTTCACAGAAATGGTGGGAGCACAGAGAGCCGTCCAGACAGCCCCAAGTACCACCCAGAGCAGAACCACCTCCTGATAGAAGGTCCTTCTGGGACAGTTTCTTTACCTTTCAGTTTGAAAGCCAACAGACCTCCACTTGAAGTCTTGAAAAAGATCTTCCCTAACCAAAAGCCAGCTGTGCTGGAGTTGATCCTGAAGGGGTGCGGCGGTGATCTGGTGAGTGCTGTAGAGGTTCTCCTCTCCAGTAGGTCATCAGTGGCCAGTGGTGAGAGATCGTCTGCAGAATCCGATGGTCTGGTTTTGCCTTCCAGTGGGCACATTTTTGAACACACGCTGAGTTCGTACCCTATTTCCTCTTCCAAGTGGTCAGTGGGCTCGGCATTTAGGGTTCCTGACACGCTGAGGTTCTCTGCTGATTCCAGTAATGTTGTGCCAAATCCTCTGGCCGTACCTTTGCAGCACCCTTTCCCTCAGCCACCACGCTACCCGCTGATGCTGAGGAACACTTTGGCAAGAAACCAGTCCAGCCCATTCCTGCCCAATGATGTCACCCTGTGGAACACCATGACGCTGCAGCAGCAGTACCAGCTGCGGTCCCAGTATGTCAGTCCTTTCTCTAGCAACTCAGCCAGCGTTTTCCGAAGCTCGCCTGTCCTTCCTTCCCGCTCATCAGAAGATCCTAGGATCTCAATCCCTGATGACGGGTGTCCTATTGTGTCTAAGCAACCGATGTACACAGAAGATGAGTATGATGAAAGGTCTGATTCTTCAGATTCCAGGAATACTCAACACATCTTAGACTGACATTCGACATGTGATAGCTAAGTGATAACTTGCAGTGCAGCTGAACTACTGGGCCCTAAGAGGAGGGACATGTACTCTACGAAACCCTTGCAACTGTATTAAAAAGTGACTTTGCTTGGTATTGTACTATAGCAATAAAGACATAACTTATTTTAATTCTTGCACTTCACTGGATAATGCCAAATAGCAATACTCTGGCTTTAGTGCTGAGTGTGTGTTACAAAGGAAGACTTTACGGCTATCAGTTATTGGGACTCTAGAAGACTTGTAAGGAAAACAGAAGCCCAAGGTCTACTTTGTTCCTTAACTCAGAAAAATGGGGATGTTAAACTAGAATACTTGAATGCTGTTTTATAAGAGAGAACTCCTCAGGACATAAGAGATCAAACAAACGTAGTTCAATTGCAAATGGACCAAAACAAGGACCTAACAATCTTATGCCAGTGATCGTCCTTGCAGTGAAAGAAAAGGCAGAAGAAAGAAATACACACATGAAACTACCATGAGCTGCTTCTGTGCCATTTGAGCTTGGACACTTTTCAGAGAAATAATATTAAGAGTTATTCTTTCCCCATGGCTAGGTCAAAACGTGTAATGTCAGCGTAAAACCAATTACAGCTGTGAACTGCATGAAGTGCATTGTGAAATGAACACCAGATTAAGCATTGTCAGGTTAATGTAGCATGCTAAGGACTCTAGAAAAATAAACTAAGATGATGATCTTGGTTTATATCATTTACACTGGGCAAATAACATTTCTGAAGATAGAGAGCTGATTAGTTCCTCACTCGGGGTTAAAATGTCCAGCTCCAGCAACCGCAGTCAAGGGAAGCCTCTTTTTCCAAGTTCAGGTTCTGCTTCCCTGCCTTGTAGCTTACAACTGAGATTAGGCAAATGTCAGTAGGGAAGCTGAGGTCTCTTGAGTATGTACTACAGACACTTCCAAGCTCAGCTGAGTAAAGCAGAGCTTGCTACAGTCACAGCAAGCAGAAAAAAAGGCTTTCCTGATGCTTCAGAAGCATCTTTTTTTCCTATACTGTAGAAGTAGAAAAAAGGAAATAGGGTATAATAGGAGGCATTTCTTTAAAATTATGTTTAGCCAAATGGCAGCTTCCCTAAATCTAGAAAAGTAATGGTTTGAACAATTTATTGCATGTTTGCATGCATTGATTATACTGCATATCTTATGTGTGTCAGAGTAACGTTAGAAATTGCTTCTGATGAGGAATGCCACTAAATTAATTGTCCACTTAGAAGTTTGTTAAGGTTTAGTGCCATTTTTTCAACTGTTCACAAGTGACCGCATCTGCTTGACAGCTGGCTTTTCCAAAAAACACCTCTGAATGCAGGTGAAATGGCTGTCAGGCCTGTCAGGTGTATGGATTAGTCCCGCACCTCAAAAACAATTGAGGCTGCCCTGAAGTTGGACTCTAAAGCAGATGGGCTTTAAAACTGTAATATGTATCAGGCATGTTATCTGGTGTCATTGCTGATACAAATGCCTGTGTTCTTATTTGGCATTTCATATTTTGTAAGCGTTGTGCACCCAGTGAATCTTGCATTTTATAAGGGTACTGAACATGCACAAAAAGGAGAATAAAATAATGATTTTATTTTCCTTAGGGGATAAATGAACAGAAAGATACTTTTTCTTGCATAATTTTCTAACCTGTTCAGAAAAGCAGTTTGTTGGTAATGCTACAGGGCAAAGACATTAAGGCAGGGAGAGGGAGGAAAGAAAATAAATAGCTTCCATTATGGAAGTGTAAATATGAAAACTTCTGGAATTTTCATAAATGCAGAATTACCATTTTGTACTGACAGATTTGCCTGCACTCACATGGCACTTGTAAACAAATTCATCTTCCAGCCACTCCAGAGAGAAAAGAAACAGGTAAAATAGGCTTGATCTTGCACACAGAAAGGGTGAAATGCTGTGCTCCAACATCAGGGAGAAATTAAGTGTCAAAGGCTAGGTAAGAGCAGTTTGGTCCAGGAGCTCTGGTTTTGAGCTCATGCACCAAGCAGATTTCCTTCCAGTAGAAACCTTTCTATCTTTTTATAGGCATCCCTGTATGTTGAGTGATTTTTTTTTTTTTTTTTTTTTTTTTTTCTACAGGGGGAAAATCCTCTCCAGCAGAAAGACCAAACAGTGGCGCCTGCAACAGCTCATAGTGACCTTATACACTATGGCCTGTGGGCTTTTAGAGAACAGAGTTTTGGCATCTTGGAATTAGGACACATCTTTCAAAGAAAGGTGACCCTTGGCTAAAGTGGAGTGAACTATTGTCACTCTAAACACTTGTGGTGAAGAATGCAGATTTGGCGGTATGGTTTTTTTAATTAGATCTCTTTTGATAAACTGTTTTCTGAAAAAGCAAACAGGTTAAAATAATCCTTGTCCAGTGTTATAAAATATCTTCTGACTCAATTCACAGTTATCTTTTTTTCTTTGAAATAGAGTAAACCTAAATGTGTTCAAAATCGAAAATGCAAGTTTTGATGTTGAACAATGGTTTTTGTTTGACCGCAAAATATTTTGGCTGTCCAGAAGATCAATTTTTAAAAAAGTACGGTTTGGCCTGCAATGATATCTTTGAGAAACAACTTTATTCACCCAGCTGTGTTTTCCAGGCTGGTGCTACAGGCAAAGATGATTTTTGGCTCCCAGCCGCCACGCAGCGAGGATCCTTTGGTGCGTTGGCAGGCCCTCTTTCTGCCCGCACAGTGCCCACGGGACCTGTTCCGCAGACCCTCGCGGTGCTGGCGGGGGATGCCCCCCCACTCCCACCCTCTCAGCCGGGGCAGCCGAGGAGCAAGGGAGCCCCTTTTCTGCAGGAGCCCCGGGGTGCACCATCCAGCCAGGGCCGGCAGCGACCACCCCAGAGCCGGGGGGCCCCATTCTGCCTCAGGCCGTGCTCTTGCCGGGGTGGGTGACAGCAGTGTCACGGCAGCTGGCGGCAGCAGGGCCGTGTCCTGTGCCTGCGGGGTGCCCGCAGCCGTGCAGCCTCCTTCCTCCTTCCCCACAGGCCCGGGGGAAGGTTCGCGGGTACGGCACCCAAACCCTGCCTTTTCCAGCTCCGTCTTGTGCTAAAAAAGGGGTATTTCCACGTCGGAGCAAATGACTTCACGCTGGGGAAGAGAGAAGACGTGTGAGTGAGGCGGGGTAAAGCTGGAGGCATGGGTGCTCAGAAACCCCCAGCAGAAAACATGAATTTAAGCATCAAGAAAGATGGCTGGAGCCTGGCGGCATCTCTGCTGAAGCCCAGAAACCAAGGGGTCTTTTTTTTGGAGGGGGGGATGGAGGTGGGAATGTGCTAGAGCAGCTGTGGGTTCCTTGGAGCAGAAGAGCTTCACCCCTTGCCCTCCGCACAGTTCTTGCTCCTGGTTGAGCAGCTGCTGCCCGGGTGCCTCTCTGGGATGCCCTGGGGCTGCTTTTTCTCCTTCCAGCAGGTGATTTCACTGTCAACTCTCCATGGGTGCACACAGGACCAATGGGCAATGCCACGGCTCTGCTTGTCACCAGCAGCGGTGCAGGCCCACCAGAGACCGGAGCAATGCACTCTGCAGAGGCTGGCTGCTGCCCCAGGGGCACGCTGCTTAATCCTTGCTCATTAACCCCTACCTATGACAAGGTGGATAAGGCCAACGATGATGTAAACAATAATAACTTCTCCCTCGGAGGAATGCTGTGGAGAGCCCTAATGCGACGCTCATGTTCTCCAGCTGCTCACATCCCTGTAGACATGGGAGGAGTCAGGGTGGGGGATGAACACAGTGCAATGGGGTTGTCTTGCCCCAAACTCCCCCCCGCCTTGCCTTTGCTGGTAGTTGTGCTGCTCCCCCCAGGGGTCCCTGACTTGCTCTTCTTATGGGCCTGAAGGGGCACCTCTATAACATTTGTTGGATGGTTGGTGAACAGGCTCACCTCACATTTGTGCTGACATCTTTGAAAAATGACTTTGATTCTCTCAGTATACTGTTTCAGTGATTCATTCTTTATGTGCATTTACTCAGTGGACGTGAGTGGGGAAATAAGATTGATGCTAAATTTATATGTTAATTTTAATATTGAAGCTATCCTGTATTTGAAGAATAAGATCAATTCTTCAATTTCATTTCTTACATGCTATTGCATATTGTCATTACTGGAAAAGAAAATTATTTCTGAATGCATACTATCCAAACTTCAATTTTAGTGGACATATAACTTTGAAGCATCATTCTTCTCCCTTCCCTATAACAACTAACTTAATACAGTATTTTAACATTCTCGCACTAGTCTGCCACTGGAAGATAACAAAGACAAGTCTTTTCACCCTAAATGGTGTTTCGTTAATGTGCTTCCTGCAGCATTGTGCACTGTCACAGGCAGATTTGGTGCATGACTCAGCAACTCCCTGCAGGCTGTTGCACGTATGATACAACAGGAATCTCTTTTAAGAGTTGCGTCCCTCACTAGAGACTAATTCCATTCATTTCCACAATAGTAGCAGTGCTTGAGAGCCACAGCTATATGCCAAGCATGCCTGTATACAGGATGAATCCTGACCTTGAGTGGAGGATCAAACAAATCCTTAGAACACTACCAGGAAGCCGATCCTGTAGAGGATGGATATAGAGCATCACATGCACAGAAAGATTTGGCTCCTACAGAGGGAGATGTACCTTAAGGAGATCTGTTGCCAGTGACCAGGCTCTCCTGAAGCTGCAACAGAAAGAAAAATATTTGCAGCATCTCTGGCAGTGTGGTTTGCTAGTTTTTGTCTTTGCAAGCTATGCAGGAGATTAAGATGAGGGACGGATAGCAGGAACCTTTGCAAGGTTACACCTTTGCTCTGCCCACTAACCTAAGGAAGATCACCTAGGTCAGTTTAAATTTCAGGTGTCTCTTTTCCCTCTCCATGAGATAAAGGTAATGGTTACAGGGATTTAATGGTTACTATCTGAAAATTCTTAAAAAAATTAAGTGCTCTGTAAATATGAGAGCAGAGCATAGTGTTTACCAGAGCATGTAGTACAAGATGTTTCTAATTTTTTATCTCCCAGAGAGAGAGGCTGTAGCTTTTCAATAGCTGAACAGTGCCTGCCTTCAGCAAGAGAGTTCCCCTGAAAAGCTGAGGTCAGGATAATCCTGAGTCGGCTGCTGTTGTACAATAGCTGAAAGTTGTGAGACCTAAGGTAAACACTGCTTGGGTTCTTATTGTGGTGTATTTCTTCCCCCTCTCTGGGCTGGTCTATGAAAACCATAGATTTTTTAGATCTACTTTACCGGGTAGATCTTTTTCTGCTGAAAAAGAGCCTTAAGCCACATGATGCCAACTGGGACACTCAACTTTACAAAGTACTTCACCAGTTGAATAATCCGTATGGGCCCACTGGGAGCCCTGTGAGCCAGCCATTCTTTGCAAAAGCTGAACCCAGTGCTCCCCCTTTTGATGAAAGAAATGTCTGACAACATTACAGCCAGGACAGCCTGTTACGGTGAATCTACCACAAATTGGAACTGTGCCTATGATTCTAACTAAATCTTGTGGCCCACTTGCTTGGGAAGCTACTGATA